TGCTGCTGCTGCTGCTGCTGCTACTGCTGCTGCTACCACTGCTGCTGCTGCTGCTGCTGCTACTACTACTACTACTACTACTACTGCTAGTAGTAGTAACTAGTACTAGTTACTAGTACTGACTGACTGCTTTTCGTTTTTACTACCTGCTAGTTTCTACTTGGTACGAGTTCCTTGACACTTCCTATTTATTGACTAGTTGATCTAAACCCCCCGCTCTGGACTGATTGCTGCAGATGCGGTTTGTTCATATGCCATTCTTGAAACCCTTTGACAACTGATGTACGTGCAAAAACGCGCAAGCGCGGGCGCAAGAGCACGCATGACAAGCTTAATGTAACTTACAGCCCACCTAGAGCTTCGCAGGGAATATGCAGTTTTTGTACTGCATGCAAGAAACGCGAAATACCTCGGCAGGGGTGGGCGCAAGGGCAAGGGGGTATCAAATGATCGCTCACCACTTGCTACATGCTGCCTGTCGAAGGAGCGAAGGCGTGTCAAGCAGTTTATTGACTGGCTGCTGGCCCAGCGCCGGGTGCTCAGCTTCTACGGACGACCCCTTAATGCTTTTACAGAAGCGAAACAGCTTTCTGCAGACATAATCAGTAGGGGTGCAGGTGGCACCTTGGCATTCAAATTGAGAATCTATTGCTTTGGGATCTGGGGGCGGGAGGGATAGAACTAGTTGAAGTCCATGAGACCCTGGGCTGTGCCCGAGGCCGAGGAAGTGTCACGGTCAAGGATGTGTCAGACCGAGACGTCCGCGGCCTGAACCATCACAGTTGCATTGTCTCGGTCGTGTGATTTTGTCTGCGTTTCGTGCACGTGTCATGGTTGCAAGATGCGATCTTTCAGATTCACACTGATGGTGTTGACCAGGACTGCACGGAGATGCATATCCCGGACAACTGCAAGGGCTGGGTCACCGGGTCCGGGCCTTGGGCAGAATGCAGGTTGTAGCGCTAAAACGTTCAGATGCGAGGCGCAATGAAGCAGCAGCGAAGTTTGTGCGCCTGGCTTGGCTGCCCAGCCATCTCGGCTTCGGCACATGGTCGGCAGCGGAGAGGATAGCGTGACGGGTAGTGAGTAGTGACGCGTAGCCTGCCGAGCCATGGCTGCCACTTGGTTGCAATGCCAGGTTTTGGCAGAGGGACCTAGGAAGACTGAGGCGCCTAGAGAATTTCACTGAACGGGACCTGCACCGAAGAGCTCTGTTTGACCAAAATCTGGCATCTCAGGAGACATATGAAGTCTTCGGACAGATGAAGATGGGCCCGTGCCAAGCCCCTCCCCAGGAGTTGGAGGGCAAGACAGCGAGAATCAAATGTGCCGATGGAGAAGTCTTGGAAGTACCGGCAGAGGCCCTCGCCTTATCCTTCAGAGCGAAGAAGGATCTCCTTGAGAAAGGCTGTGATCAAGACTTCGAGGTCCCGCACCTGGGCAGCACTGGGCTGCATGTTCCTACGCAGTTTTCAGGGACAGTCTCGAATCCGATTGGCGTAATTGCAAATCTCAGGTTGGGGAAGGGCGTGGTGGTGAAGCTTATGGAGTACCTGAAACATCACACCACCAACGAGTACAGTGAGATCCGGACACCACTTGCCAGTGATCACCTAGTAGACTGCGGCGCTTCGCGCTGGGATGCGAGCTTTGCCAATGTGGACAAGGAGATGCTCTTTGACCTGACCGTTGCGGCCAGCTATCTTGACATCCCGGGCCTTTGGTTCCTACTTAGTGCCAAGGCGGCTTTGATGACAACCAACAAGAGTGCAGACAAGCTCCGGAAGGAGTTCATGTTGACGAATGATTTTCCGGCAACGGAAGAGAATGACCTTAGACGCAAGTCTGCTGCGGACATGTCCAGGTTGGCTGCATCCTCTGTCATCCGGAACGGTGTGAAAGCAGCAGAGTACAAGGCTGGCATCAAGCAGATTGAAGATGGCACATCGGCACCATCTGCGGTTGTGAATACATCTAGCTGGAGACAAGCCATGTGGCGGGCCGCAGTGTTAGATGATTGGAAGCTCTTGGAACATGCCCCGGAGCCAGTGAAGAATGACCGAGACCTGGTGAAGAGTGCGATCTTGACAAGCCAAGGAGCGGCCTTGAAGCTTGCTTCTTCGGAGATGCGGGCAGACGAAGCTCTAGTGCTCGAGGCCACGAAGTACTTCGGCACTGCCTTTGCGCATGCGGATCCGGAGCTGCGAAACAACAAGGATTTCCTTTTGAAGGCTTTGGGCGTCCATGGTGGTGCCATGACCGGAGCTCCCGATGCCTTGCGGAGGGACAAGTCCTTCATGCTGGAGGCTGCCAAGGTTGGCAAGGGTAACGCCCTACAGGGGGCCACCGTGGATTTGAGAGACGACCGCAACTTGATCCTTGAGATGGCCGTGCACGATGCAGAGGCTTACAAGCATGCATCAGAGGACTTGCTCAATGACAAGGACTTTGCAGTCGCAGTGGCCAAGCGCAATGGCAAGGCACTAAAGTTCATGATCCCTGCTTTCCGAGCAGACCCAGATGTGGTGCGGGCTGCCATCGCCAGAGATCCGCAAGCCGCGCAGTATGCTCATGCATCGAGACGTTCAGAGTTAGGCATGATCCAAGAGGGCGTGCTTGGAGAAGTGCAAATGCAAGCAGAGCTAGAAAGCCAGTTGAAGGCAGCACAAGAAGAGGCTGCAGCGACCCTGACGCTTGCCACAGTGGCTCCTCCTCGGCAGGTGCCTTTCCAAGCTCTTCCGGAAAGGCCTAAGTACACTTGTATGAGGCTTCAAAAGACGGTTGACTTTACGGCACAGAGTGTGATGACGGCGAACATGGGGCAGTCAAACTACATCGCAGCTAATTCATACTTGGACAGGATGCCTGGTCTTCGACGTCCCGAAATTGATGCCGTTGGCCTCATGTGGGGTGCCGTCGGGGGCATCGGAATGCGCTGGAAAGCCTTCGCCTCGGAGGATTTCCTGAACGCTACGCCGGAGCTGTTGCTAACCATCGAGGACTCATGCAAGGTCTTGTGGGTTGCGGCGTGCACCCTCTTCCCGCCCGAATGGTTCAATGCATCCCACATGGCTGACCAGCGGCCGTACTTCCTGACAAAAACCGCGGGTACTATACCATTGGACATCTCGACCGACTCGGCAGCAGCCCAGGTCCAAGATGTAGAGGCAGACAGGCGAGCCCTCCAGGACTTGACCGACGTAGACCGACGTCCACTCCCTGGAAACAACTCGGCTCCTTTGGGAGGCTGGCCCAACCTCGTGTCGGCACACGAAGGTGCCAAAATCAGACTCACGGGGCTGCGTGCCAAGAACGGCATGACCGGCACACTGCTCCAGCGCTGCGACAATGGCGCTTGGAAGGTGCAGCTGGACGATGGCTCGAACAATGCTTTGCTAAGACCAAATAACTTCGAAGTGATCGAAGCTGCCAAGGTGGAGGCCTCGCAGAAGTTTCAAAGGCACTTCCCAGAGACGCAGGAGCTACAGGCCTACAACGCAGCAGCAGCGGCTGAGCGACAATGCAAGATCGAGGAGAAGCGGTCCAAGCTGAAGGAGAAGATCGCAGCGAAGCGCCAGGCCATTCTCGCCTCGGCCGTGCATGCGGCCTGAACCTTTGCCGTTGCATCTGAGTAGCTGGGCACAAGGCGGAGAGGCTGCCTGCTTCCTGCACCGACCCTTGAGGGGTCACACTGCTGCAAGGCACAGCTGACATAGGTTCTTCCACCGAGGACTGAGCTCAGAAGTTCAGCTGCCAAAACAGGGGTCCGATCTCTGGCATGCGCAAGGCCCAAGAGAGTCGGACAAGGTGAACATGTCACTAAGCCCGTGTCACATTTGCGTGGACGCAAGTGCATTCCATTTTTGCATGCGCGTGCTAGCCATCTTGGCTTTGGCCCATGATCCGGGGTCAGGTGCACTATTTCAGTCAAAACTAGGACCAGATTCTCTGCTGACAGCCATGGCCGAATCTTGACGTTGATTGGACACGGCTCCATTCAAACAGTATTGAGACCTTGTGTAAGTCTTAACACGTTGTCGGAGCGACGAGAGATCAGCAGAATTCATGCCAGTCACGGTCCACGTGCCGACGCACTAAGGAAACGTATGAAATCTTTGGGCAGATGAAGATGGGCCCGGGCACAGCATGCCCGGTGGAGCTCATGGGCAAGAAAGCAAAGCTGAAGTGCACTGAAGGCGATGTCTTCGAGCTACCGGCCGATGCAGTTGCTTTGGCATACAGGGCAAGGACCGATCTCCTTGACAAAGGCTGCGATGCAGAGCTTCAGTACCCGCACCTTTGCTGCAGCAAGTCACCTGCCATGTTGTGACCGCTGCATGACATGCATGCAATTGGCAGAGTGAAGTACAGTCCACCTGAGGATCAAAAAGTGTGTCATGCTCAAGCTGGTGGAGTATCTCAAGCATCACAGAGAACACGCATGCAGTGAGATTCGGACTCCTCTCATCAGCGACAACTTGGCCGAATGTGGTGCTACACGCTGGGATGCGAGCTTCGTGAATATGGACAAGGAGATGCTGTTTGATCTGACCGTTGCAGCCAGCTACTTGGACATCCCTGGTCTTTGGTTTCTCCTTAGCGCAAAGGCTGCGATCATCACCAACAAGAAAAGTGCAGACAAGCTCCGCAAGGAGTTTAGCATGGCGAACGACTTGCCAGCTGCAGAAGAGGCTGAGCTCAAGCGTGACTATGCAGCATCTTTGCGCCTGGAGGGTGACGTGGATCTCTCTCAGCTGGCAGCGTCATCTGTCATCCGAAGTGGTGTGAAGGCAGCAGAGTACAAGGCTGGCATCAAGCAGCTAGAAGATGGCTTGGAGCCGCCATCCTCTGCAATCTCCAACTTGTCTAGTTGGCGACATGCCTTGTGGCGGGCCGCAGTGTTAGATGACTGGAAGCTCTTGCAAAACGCACCAGAGCAGGTGAAGAATGACCGAGACCTGGTGAAGAGTGCGATCTTGACAAGCCAAGGAGCGGCCTTGAAGCTTGCTTCTCCAGAGATGCGGGCAGACGAAGCGCTAGTGCTGGAGGCCACGAAGTACTTTGGCACTGCCTTTGCAGATGCAGCTCCGGAGCTGCGAAACAACAAGGATTTCCTTTTGAAGGCTGTTGGAGTCCATGGTGGTGCCATGACCGGAGCACCAGATGCAGTGCGAAATGACAAGTCCTTCATGGTGGGTGCCGCAAAGGCTGGCAAGGGTGCTGCGCTGCAGGGGGCCACCATGGCTCTGAGAGACGACCGCAACTTGATCCTTGAGATGGCCGTGCACGATGCAGAGGCTTACAAGCATGCATCAGAGGACTTGCTCAATGACAAGGACTTTGCAGTCGCAGTGGCCAAGCGCAATGGCAAGGCACTAAAGTTCATGATCCCTGCTTTCCGAGCAGACCCAGATGTGGTGCGGGCTGCCATCACCAGAGATCCGCAGGCCGCGCAGTATGCTCATGCGTCTAGGCGAGCAGAGCTGGGTATGATCCAGGATAGCATGCATGGCGAAGTCCAGCTGCAAGCGGAGCTGGAAAGCCAGAAGAAAGCAGCGCAGGAGGAGGCAGCATCGACCTTGGCACTTGCCACGACGGCTGGCCCTCGTCAGGTTCCCATGCAAGCTCTTCCATCCAGGCCCACTTACACATGCATGAAGCTCCAGAAGACAGTGCAGTTCACGGCAATGAGTACAATGACGGCGAATATGGGCCAGTCCAATTACATTGCAGCGAACAGTTACCTGGACAAGATTCCAGGGATGCAAAGGCCGGAAGTCGATGCGGTTGGCCTCATGTGGGGTGCTGTCGGAGGCATCGGAATGCGCTTCAAGGCTTTTGCCTCGGAGGACATCCTGAATGCTACTCCAGAGCTGTTGCTCACCATTCCCGACTCGTGCAAGGTGCTGTGCGCGGCATGTTGTACAATCAACCCGCCCGAGTGGTTCTCGGCGTCCCACTTCGACAAGTTCAGCCGAGAGATGTACCTGTCCCCCAGTGCAGGCCAGATCAAGCTCGAAGAACAGACAACTGAAGTAGCTGCCCAGGCACACTGGGAGAAGCATCTTGAAGATGACCGCAAAGCTCTACAGGACTTGGCTAGTGTCGACCGCCGCCCTGTTCCAGACAACTTTGCCTTGGTCAAGGCTCCCGCCCAGCCCGCTCTGGCAAATGCGCCACTGGGGGGATGGCCCAGCCTTGTGTCCAGTCCGCCATCCAGCGGCGGCAGCGTGCCCCTGCAGAAAGGCACCAGGGTGCGCCTGACAGGCCTTCGTGCGAAGAATGGTGTATGTGGGACTTTGGCGCAGCAGTACGGCGATGGTAAGTGGAAAGTGAAGCTAGATGACGGCTCGGGCAATGCCTTGCTACGCCCCGGCTTCTTCGAGCCATTCCTCGCATGAGATGCCCAAGTGAGCCGATCTAGGAAGCTACACATCTTCCTTTGTAGACATTCTCACATGGAACATTGGACTGCGCAGCGGAGGGCAGCAAAAGCAAAAGCGAGACAGAACTTCAAAGCACGAACAGGCAGAGTGGCCTGGACTTGGTATGCTTCCCAGACTGAGGAACCGCGGGAGCGAGCTGCGTCGAGTGGAACAGGAGACTGGAACGCCTCGCGACTGCAAGCGCAGAGCAGCGAACTACACGGCACGGTCCCCTGGTCCCCTGATTCTGAGGTTTATGTTCATGGCCCTGGATTCCAGGGGCGAGGCGCATCTTGTATGATGAAGAATGCATGGGAATGGGACAACAAGTTTTCAACTTCTCGGAAAAATAACCAGAAAAGCTTCGATCCCCAGGAGCGCCTGCTGATTTTTGGAGCCAACGCAGGTGCGGGCGGGTGGGTTTTCTTGCCGGAGGGTATGCTGACTTGAGAGCCTTTGTCCGCAGACATGCCGCAACCTCAACAACCGGCTGCTAAGAAGCCCAAGACTGCATGCATGCGCACTCACAGTCCTGCCGTCCCACGGTCCGTAGCCATCCGGCATTGCATGCTGTCTCGCGGCATGGACACGGGACAAACACCCCAGGGCAACACTTCGAAACCCCCCTTGTCAGGAAGCAAAGTCGAGAACGGCGGCCGGATGCATGCCGAACGCTTGGTGAACGATTTGGTGCAGGAGTCTCCCACAGTCCGTCGCTTCAGTACTTGCCGATATGTGTGCGGAGGAAGAGTCAGAGACTGCCTGAGTTGGTTTTGCCAACTTACGTCCTTTGGGAGGAGAAACTGCGCAACGACGAGCGTAGCTGGGCAGCAAAAAGCCCGAACCCTGCAGACCCTTCCTCATTACATCCTAAAGGCCGCAGATGTTCCAGGCCATCAGCCTGGAGGTGACTTTCAAACGTTTGTGGGACGGACACACGAACGGAAAGGCAATCACACTCCAGTGTTGCTGTGAACCGTTGTGGCACAGCAACGTGAACTGGTAGCCCTTGGGGGCGCCTTCAGACAGGCGGTTAAACTGAGTGCAGTTTGCATTCCAGGTCGTGGTGGGCGAGATAGCCGCAGCCGCAGTCGCAGGCAGACTACCGGAAGTTGGGGAAGAAGTGCAAAGAACCCCGGTCCTCTTTGACAGTCACAGTGTGTGTGTGTGTGAAGATCCCCCGATCGTCAGACAGTTTCAACTCTTTCCAGCAGCCTGCAAGCCCGCTTTTGACGGCGCACACCGGAGTGTATGCAGCCCTGAGCAGCAGGTCGTCCAGACGCAGGCGCCCGGCTGTTGCAATGCCTCTGGCTGCATGCATGGATGGGGAGGGAGAGCGAAATCCCGCTCGGGTTAGCTGTAAGGGCAACTGGCAGGTTGGTAGGCCTATGTAAGGCTTTGATATGTCAGGTACCGAATGCAGCAGGTGACAGAGAGAGAGCTAGCGGCTGCGTTGGTGTGGCCCACTTGTAGCAAACCCGTGAGGGGTGCATTCTGTTCGCCGAGCCTTTGCGAAAACTCAAGCAACCCAGCCGCCAGCCCTTAGAGCCCTTAACCCACCTCTTTTGTGGCTGGTGACCGGTGCTCCGGCTCCGCCATGGCCTCCGCTTCCGAGCACTCCAAGCACATGTTCGAGTGCTTGACTCCTGTCTGCACCACGCAGCACACCACCAACTCACCAAGCTCAGGGCTCAGGGCTTTTTGCGCGAGGGCCGAGAGCCTTCCACAGCCCAGAATCACCGGGTTCTTAGCGTGCAGAGGCCAACTTGTGTGAATTGATTCTTCGCCAAGGGTGAACTGGCGAAGTCTCTCTCTAGGGCTCAGCTTCGGAGATGGCACCAGCTGCAGCCGAGGAGACATGGGCAACTTGAATCCGTGCGCCGAGCAGCAAAGACATTCAACTTCCGGGAGGCCGCAGCCGAGCGAGCCGAGAAGAAGCCACGTTTTGCGAAATAGTTAAGTTAGGGCGTAAAATAGGCACAGGGGAGTGGCTGAAACGAAAGAGCTTTGCTGGCGCAGCTGATAGACGTGACTGAAATACGGGCCGATTGACAGAGGCTTCGCGGCACAGACTTAGATGCATTCCGTCACGTCGGCAGCTTCAGATGCAGATTCTGTTGCAAGCATGGGTGAGGTAGCGATAGGCAGACAAGGAGGAGAGTAGGAAGAGCGCACTTCATTTTGCTGTAGCAGCTCTTCGCATGCATGTAGATTTTCCAATACAGGAGGCAAGGGAAGACGGAGAGAGAAAGGTGTTGCGCTTAGTTTCGAACTGCACCTCAGCTCTGCTCTGGATCTGCTCCAAGAGGAGTTTTGTTTTTGCAGGTGACTGCTGGCCGTTTGGCAACAACGCAGACCGTGGTAGGGCATCTGCCGGGCATCAGTGCTTAATCCCCTCAGAGGCCGTGAATGATACTTAACGATACTCCAGTCCAACCTGGAAGCAGCGACCTGCATCATGCATAACCGAACACTGCACACAGGTCCTGGTAAGAGTTACGTCTATGCGCCGCCCGCCTATCTCCCAATCTACCCCACAGAAGACAAAGCAAAAGCCATTACGAAAGCACATGGGCATGGGCGCTGCCTGGCCTTCTTGATCTACGGCTGTCCTATACGTATGCCTATACAAGCTTCCAGAAGAGATAGCGGCAGATCTCAGGAGAGGACAAGCCCACCCCAAGGCGTTGCAAGCCTGCTGGCAGGCATGCAAGCAGGCAGGCAAGCAGGCAGGCAAGCAAGCAAGCAAGCAAGAGTGACACTCAATAAGCCATCGGCACAGGTCGGGGAGGGTTATAAAGCTTAATGTGCGAAGGTCACGGGATCACATCCCTATAATTATGCCCAACGCAACAAAGAAATAAGAAGAGCTAGAGAAGCAGAGAAACAGAGAGACTCGGTTGTAGTGTTGCTTGTTTGTTGTAAGTGAACAGGGAACACCAACATGTTAAGTAAAGTCCGCGAGAGCTCCAGGCAAGGGGACCTCTGTGAGCTTTCCCCTACCGTGTTTCTTCAACCCGCCCCCTCTGTTTTCCCACACCACGGAAACCTTGCCACCAGGAGCTCGACAACAGGACTTCCGCAGAGCGGCATGAGGACCCACAGTCTGCATCCCCCTACTTTGTTGAGCATCCCTTCCCCTCTGCTTCCACCTGACTAGGGGACTCATGCCGAACGGAGCCCAACACCAACACACGGCAATAGAAGCCCCTACGCTGCAGCTAGCCTAAGCTGTCTGCGCCTTCGCTTACAAAAGAGCCGCCCGACACGGTGGCCAGCAAAGACTGGAAAAGTCTGCTGTGACCAACGAATCCCAACAGCACCGGGGGCGGGCTGCATGGGATTCGGGGGCACGTAGATGTCTCACACCGATGTGACAAGACACGAACAGTGGCGCAGCGCGCTGCGCAGGGAGGGCAAGTCCGCTTTCCACCCCAAAAGCCTTGCAAAGCAAGCAAGCAAGAAAAGGGGGGGGGGGGGGGGGG